AATATATGTAAATGAACACATAATTGTGAGGGGAATAAATTTCCATCTGAAAATTAATTTCAGCCTGAAAGTCACCCATAAAAACAGTTTCAAAGTTACATGCTTAGCTTGCATTTTTATGAAGAAATGAAGACTGCCCCCGCATTTCCGTAGTCTAAGGTGCCACACTTTGCTGTGCAGAGTTTGGTCTCTTACGAATCCAAGAATGATAAGACCGTCAGTACGTATCCTGCATAGACCTTGATTTGTTTCCAGGAGTGCCAGCACCACACCTACCACTCATGGGTTTCACCAAAATGGTCAGCACGTACGACTGACTGACTGACTGAGTTTAGTTTTACGCCGCTTTTAGCAATATTCCAGCAATATCACGACGGGGGACACCAGAAATGGGCTTAACACATTGTGCCCATGTGGGGAATCGAACCTGGGTCTTCGGCGTGACGAGCCAACGCTTTAACCACTAGGCTACCCCACCGCCCCTCAGCACGTACGAGCTGCATTACTTGAGGTTTGTTACCATAAGAAAATGTCACGTTGTGAAATACATGAATTCTGATTAAAACAACCCAAACAACTCACTGAATTTTAACAACAATACGTTCATAAAATGCGGTTGTCTTGCATATGTCATGTCATTTCAGCTACAGCAAATATCTACTGGGGAACAATTTGTTCATTCCACTGGTCCCTAAACTTTATATGTCATCAACGCCATCCATACCCTCCTTGATCTATGTCCCAGGCTGTAACGTCTAGTCTTGCCCCGGATCTCCTCCAAGGAAACCAACCTACATACATCTCGGGAGACGTGACCTTGTTCTAGTAATGCACATGATCGTTGTATGGACAATATAACATTACATGACTGAAATGCTCCCTTAAGTGACATTAAATCCCCAACCTCACCATCATTTCAATGGGTTCAGCCACCGCTCTGTTTCCGATCAGGTTTGGTAAGGCGATGGTAGCGTCACGGTTGTCGTATCGTTGTACATAAACGTTGACAGTCGTGCCGCTGACGTCTCATTGTGGGACAGAGTCTCTATTTGCAATTCAGGTGAATCTGCGCGTTGTATCACACAGATACCCCATTAACCATCCGGTGTTCCGTAAACATAAACTTATTTGGTCTACTAAAATACAATTTACGATATTCTTATTTTCAACATGTTGCTTTAATTTCGTCTGCATTTGTTTACACATACTACGTTACGTGTATAATTATTTTTAGGTGAGTGTTTTTCAGTATCATGAATATTATATAATAACATCAAACGAGACTTTGACATCATATATATACTACTCACACTTTGCTAAGGATCACAAAAATTCACAGCTTTACTTAAACGTAGATTCATAAATTGAAATTGTATCCATTTAAACTGGATAAATAATAATATGGCAACCCCTCTTTAGGCAAACAGCCACTTCAGTCTAACCTTATGCACTTGTTACATGAGTAACCATAAAAACACTAACGGTTTTCATGGCACCAATCAACCATTTTACAAATCATGGAACGATTCATTGACAAGTACACAACGCCTGTAAATAGTAGGTATGGGATCCACAAGATGAAATAACACACTGAAACCTAGGATCCATGCTTACACTAAGCTTAGATATTTCAATCCAATTTAACCCCACATCATAGTTTTCTGTTGAATCCATGATTTGATCCTAGCAAAGTGCGCATACCTTATGTATAACATTTACTATACTTAAACCCGTTCAACATCACACAATGTTCTACCCCTGAAAATCCGGGTTTGAACTGGTATCCCATGCATGTTGTAAGAGGCGACTAACGGGATCGGGTGGTCAGGCTCGCTGACTGCATGTCATGTTATCCCATTTGCGTAGCTCGATGCTCATGCTGTTGATCACTGGAATGTCTGGTCCAGACTCGATTAATTACAGACCGCCACAATATAGCTGGAATATTGCCGAGAGCGGTGTTAAACAGCAGCAACATAACGTGTACGACGTACGTCTAGTGAACCGTTCCATTTATCATATACTATAGCGTGTCGTGAAAAATAATTTGTAGCAATGTTTGTCTACAGCATCACCGACAGCTCAGGAACCCTATCTCAACGTTAGTCAATAGTTTGTTCAACAAGCAGGCATTGCATCGACGTATAGAGCTTGAACGTATTTCGTATATGACCTCGTTTGGTATTTATCGGATCGTGATACCGAATTTATCGGTTTGGTGTTCTGGTATCGATTACTCTATCCCCCTTACATGAACAATCGTCCAGACAGATACAAGAACATTGTTGTGTTCTAATATACCACAGGAACTAAACAAATTCAACCTTCAAAAGAACATATTTGTACTAAAATCACCTCATTTCCCATTCATTCAAACGGTTCCGAAAGACGTTTCATGTTCGTATTTAAGAGACAAAACAAATTAATAGTGTACATGCATGTTTAAAAAAACATGGTTCGTGTTCAGATAACGTGACTGACTAGTTGGAGCCGCTCCTGTAAACATGTCTGAATATTCCCCCGGTACACTCAAGTGGTTTATAACGTGAGGCCCCCTCCCTCTTGAAACATGGCTGGAATCTATCTAGAACTCTCGGCATCATTCAGCAACACTCAGACTTCACTATATGTCATCGGCTATCTCATAAGGTCTTCCCAAATTGACGATATTTAGACCAAATGTTGCCAATTTTCTGTGACATAACCTATTGCCTGAGATAGATGTCCAAATCGATAGAGCTTTAATTTGATAGCCGTGTTGAGTTTCTCTTACTTAAATAGAGAACATGTCACGAACTGTAGATAATTAAACATTCCAGGAACATCTGCAATGATTTAATGAAGTGTTAAGTATTGATAATAGGAGTGTCCGTATTAGCATGAAGGCAGAAAGCAAAACGGAATCAAGAACCCCGATGGACAGACCCGGTGTGCAATGACCGACGCAAGTATTCCTTAAGTGTCATTCTTCATTAAAACATAATGCATGACAGAAGAACGCTCCATACATCAGCAGCAACTCGACCCAGCAGAAAGCCATCTGAGGCAAGGAGGAAGTATGTTTGTAACACAGGCATCAGTTATTAACGAGTTCGGGTGTAATTTTTAGATGCAATATTCTTCAGATGTTATAAACCGTTGAATAATAAACCTATTTTAAAATTCTAAAATATTTGTTTACGTAAGAATTCAGCTTGGAAATTGTTTTCGGCGACAATGGTATAACAGAATAACGAATTAATTTCCCGGAGTCCCCCCGAGATAGCCATCTGCTGAGTGTTATGCCGTTATTTATTAACGTGTTTCGTATTAAAAAGCAGGGCTGCGTTGTGTCAAAGCATTTGGTTATCAAAAACAAGATGAACGTTTCTCAATAAAAGATATTTCATATCGCTAAAAACATACACACGTTTTCATTTTCTTACATAATTGCATTAAACGATTTATAGTGGTAACGGTTGTATGGAGTATCTTCGATATCATATGAATACTTATAGACATATTAAGTCAAACACCGATGTGTAGAAGTTAACGAGATCTACTTCCATACTTCGAGTTATCTGAGGTTCCACATCGTTGTGAAGTTGTTAACGTGCCTACTTATATACTTCGAGGTATCCGAAAGTCGACACCGTTGTGTAGAAGTTAACGTGCCTACTTATTATGCTTCGAGTTATCCGATGTTCGACACCATTATGTACAAGTTAACGGGCCTACTTATATACTTCGAGTTATCCGATGTTCGACACCATTATGTAGACGTAAACGGGCCAACTTATATACTTCAAGTTATCCGATGTTCGACACCATTATGTAGACGTTAACGGGATCTACTTATATACTTCGAGTTATCCGATGTTCGACACCGTTGCGCAGACGTTAACGGGATCTACTTATATACTTCGAGTTATCCGATGTTCGACATAATCGCACAAAAAGGGATTAAATATAGAATTACCTTTTACTTCGAGACAATCGTAGGTTCGACAGAACGGTGCTGCCCGTACGTGAGAGCCTCCATACGACAAAACAGAAAACCGCAAGAGGACGTTGAAGGCGCGTACTAGTCCCCTGACCATGTATAGTCAAACATGCTCCATCCTCTAGCCAGGGTTACATCTGTAGTGATTATGATCCTTGGATTGTCAGTGCAATACTCACGGATGTAACAACCAAACCTTTACCAGACTACCTATTCGCGGTTCCCTTCCCAAACGGCTGCGATAACGCGGTAACAACACCTTGGAAAGCTTGACTCTACTTCCCAAACTGTATGCATCTAAACCTTCTTGATGTTACATATCTCATTTGTGTATACCTTACAAAATAGACGCCGTCGGTAATTCCGCAGAGATATCGTATCGCCAAAAATTTCGTAAGTAAATGTTGACATTCGAAATACTGTGAAATAATATAATAATAATAATAAAACACGTGATGCAACACCACTCTGAAATAAAACAAACGTTTGCCTCGATTTGCGGACCTTCTGAAATAAATAAATTTCCGGAGCTAATTCCAGGATCTAAGGTACACTGCTTTGTCACGCATTGTCAATAAAAGAAAGACATGGGGAAACAGGAAATGACCTCCTCCCAGGGACGTCCTCCCCTCCATCTACTTTGAAGACATCTACAGCTCGCGCAGTCCGCATTAATTTTTTAGTTTTGACAGCAGGAATTTCCCGAATAGAACGCTGTTTGAGGAAGACACGTAGTAAAAAATTCCATATCTCCCACATGTGGAAGCAGTAAAAGTTGACGTTTAACAAGTAAAGAATACCATCGATCGACACCCAATGGCTTGCAGACAAAAAAAATACGTGACTTAAGAGGTCACGCGTGTTTTCCCGTTATGGAAAAACCAGTGTCCAATGACATAACTACCAGAAACGTGAGCCAAATACGAAGAAATACAAGCCTCGCTTGAGAATAAAACACACCTTAGAATTTAGCAGTCGGTGTATACATAATCATGCTCTACTCCACAACAGCACTCACCTCAATACAAAATAGGTCACTATAGCTCCATGTCGTCTTGCCATGGCAAGCTGCAAAGAAAAATATCATGTCATAAGGTTCAACAAACAAAATACAATCATAACTCATAAGTTTTCTTTAGAAGATGAAATATGAGTTAGAAACAAACTAACATGCTGAAGAAAAAAACGTATGTATTTTTTCAAAGATTGGGAAATGTTTGTTTTTTCACAATCAGCAATCCCAGTTGCTTCCAGAGTGATTGTGTGTTGTTGTCAGGGAGATTTCTCTGTCAGTCACGAGGCTTTGAAGAAACAGCTCTATGTATACATTTCGTGGACAATAAATTAATTCTGGTTGTTGATTTTGCTGTGGATGTACTGTGTCGTCAGGCCAGATTTTGTCTAAACTTGGTTTACAAATACGCTCACTTCAGTATATTTAAACGTAGTCTGTATTCTGCCGTATCGAAAAACACATTTATTTTCGCTTTCAATAGAAATAAATTATTGTAACAACATAATTAGAAACGATTGAAACTTTATCGTACGGAAATTGTAGAAATATCAGACATTTTACATGCATACGTATTTCGTTCGACCTACCAACCTGGACGTTTCTTGTCGTAAATCAAAGAAAGTCTTCCGCAACCTTTTCCTATCAAATAAAGGGGTTAAAATAATGGTTAAAGCTTCTGCTCCTAACTCTGAAGACCCGGGTTCGATTCCACACATGGGTACAATGTGTGAAGCCCATTTCCTTTGTACCCCGCCTTGACATAGCTGGAATATTGATAAAAGCGGCGTAAAACCATACTGACTCACCCACTCCTATCAAATACAAGGCTCTGTTTCAAGGAAACTGAAATGGTTTGTACTCAGTGAGTGAGTGAGTGAGTTTGGTTTTACGCTGCTTTTAGCAATATTCCGGCAATATCACGGCGGGGGACACCAGAAATGAGCTTCACACAATGTACCCATGTGGGTATTCGAAACCGGGTCTTCGGCGTGACGAGCGAACGCTTTAACCACTAGGCTACCCCACCGCCCCGGTTTGTACTCAACTTTGACATAGTGATTATTATAGTTAGTGCATTCGTTCAATATCCCTTCAGTCGTTGTTGCGTATGCCATATAATGTCGGTGTGATATTTCCCTGTGTGTAATGCTAAAGTGTCATCATCTCCCTAGTTACATGTAAATGTGATGAATTGTTCACGTGAATGGTGCAGATACATTAATTGAAACTGTAGAGGAACCAAAACCTTCTCAGCTTGTGGTATGTGAAGTATAATGTTTCAAGTATTACAAATATTCAAAAGCAAGATACGTATTTACAAACACGTTAGGAAAGCGTGATGACACATTGACTCAATTGACAAGGATCCGTTCACACTAACGCACAAACTATATGCATCGAGAAAAACTGCATCTGAAACACAGAGATATCTGGTTGAAGAGAGAAAGAGAGAGAGAGACGGAGGTAGGGAGAGAGAGACGGGGAAAGGGAGAGAAAAAATATATTACACCAAGGCTTAACATTTGTACTGTAAGTCATGAGTTGCCTAATTAACGCGAGTGTCCCCAGCCAGCCTAATATACGTCGTGACATTATTGCGAGGGCTCAAAGTTCTTAAATATCTTAAAATGTTCGACACCGTAAGAAAATAACAACAGTTGTAAAAGCGTGTGGTATGCCGACAGTTGGATTGAATAAACCAAACGTATCACTGAAATACAATCCTTTCCATATTAACCAAACCAGAACTAGGTGTTATACAGTCGGCACCGAAGTGACCATAACGCAGGCATGATACATTCCCGTGGTACAGTAGCGTTTTGACCGACCGTATCCCCTTACTGTCCCAGATTATGTTAGGCACAGATGCTGTGGAGTTGTCGCTGACGACGTCTTTCTGCAGTACACGGCACACACGTCAACATGACGTACCCGAACAACCTTGATGGGTTGAACATGTGAGTTACGAATATGGAAGATCGTCTTCCATAACTTGAACACCTGGTGTCAACATTTGCGTGTCTTTATATGTGCGCTCGTACTTCGTTGTGTATTGTTGCTCAGATCTGTCACTGGGTTGTCCTACCTGTTCATGTATAAACTACACAGCTGAAGTATTCCCGAGAGCCACGTTAAACAAAAACTTACGTTATGTGTAATAATACCTTCTGACTCCATGAGCAAAATCATCGTTTATTTCGTTTATCCAACAAAAACGTGGTACTTGAGAATCGATTTACAACACGCCCACATAGAATATCGACTTGTGAACGAAATGTGTCATAAATACAAAATACGATTATTCCGTCCTACACCGTGAGAACAACTGAATACTTTAGTGGCTGATGACGAGGTGACGTGAACAATCCGGCAGGAGAAGGATTCCCCAGGGAGCTGGACCCGAACCAGTACACATTGGACATCCAACACCACCACGTTGACCACTAACACGGTACTAGGACCACGTGCCAGCAACGTAGAGGCTGCCTCTGTGACACGTTAGGTCTGTGCTAGTTTTAAGTCACATATCTTAATTATTATGTGAATCTTGTTCTTTACCGTGTCAGTGCCAGTGAAGAACGCGTTATGAAAATAATTCATCTTAATTGTACGTCAAAACTAACTGAAATTAAATGATCACTTGCATTATACAAATAATTACTTTATCTCGCTGTATTATGCAATGATTTGACTGATTTGGGTACATTGTTTTGTAGACCTCGTTAGGATGAGAAAGTCACAATAACTCGGTGCGCCTAGTGGCAGCAAGAGTTGTATACTCCCCAGGGAGTTGAGATCGATAATACGATGTGCCGTTGAGATTGACATCCAATGATCGAAGGGAAAAATAATAGCGCCTTGAGCATGCACTAGTTGCGTGGATACGTGCGCTATATAAATATCCTATAATAAAAATGATAATAATAATAGGCCAATTCCCTTAGGGCGCACGGCGCTGAAGACTTCGTTAAATGATTCATACATGTTATGTATGCACTGGAAAACAACACAACCACAATGTCCCTCTTATTAAAATATTCTCTAGCACCTGGTGTCCTTAATATAAAGCTACAAATTCCATAACAACTGGTGTCCTTACCGTATTAGTGTTAACTTAGTTGATATGTAGTCTCCAACACCCGGTGTCCTTACCACGACAGTCTTGGGTAAGTATATTTTAAGTTATCAAACAAACCCTTTTTAGACTATGTCTCAGTTTTTAAAGCATAAACTGTGGTATTTGTTGTGTGGTTTTCAAACTCAGCTGTCAGACAAAAGAGGCTATTTTCAAGGACGGGGTGGACTTACTTTTTCCTCCACTTGAGTGTACTAACAGGTATATTCAGATATTGTAAAGGGAGTGGAGAAGTAGTGTTGATCACGTCTGCTGTACACGCAGTAGTCTATTTTAACATATTCGTATAAATGTATTTGATTTGTTTTCAAACAAGGGCATAACACTTTCTTCGGGCTCACTTGAAAGAGGGGAATGCATTGATATTGAAACTGATAAGCAAATAATGTCCTTGTATTTGAATGTTTGAGAAGATATATCATGAACTGGCTAGCAATAGAAACTATATCCAAGAAAATCTGATGATTAAAAAATTGAAAATTGAAAACGTTAATAAAACGTTACTTTGCTGAAAACCCGAATAGTAGTGAAAAGGTCAAAACACATCTATAATACCTAATTTGAGTGAGTGAGTGAGGTTTCAAAGGCCGCTTTAGAAGATTTTCAGTAATATCAGACCTTATCTGTTTCATGTGTGAGAATGAGATGGAGAACTTTGACGTTGGGAATACCTACAATCATGGGTATGTTGTTTGAAAACCTATAATCATAATCTCGATGAATCTGGAAGCCGCAACCACGATCATTGTTTCCTGGTATGCATAAGGGACGTAACTCTGTACAGCTAATTACAACGCCATATACGATTGTGCCCTGTCGGCTTACATAAATATATCACATGACTGACTGTTCTTCTGTTCTTATAGCAACACGATTCCTACGTAAATTACCTTACCATGTCCTAAAAGGAGAATTACATTCCGATCCAAATTACGTTTTGCCAACGTCTTCAAATAACACTGATAATACCCTGTCTCAAATACACCAGAGCATAAAAAACACTCTGCTTGCATCCTCCCTAGGGTACAGTTAATATGATCCACCAAATCAGATATATACCTATTACATTCCGATTGCAACCTTAAAAATATCTTGCATAGGGGATGTCAGATTTACTGTGTGCAATTAACCATAGTCTTTAAAGTCAACGATGTGTTAAGCGCTAGTCTGTTTCGGCAGTGTGTAGATAAACTGCCAGTTGATAGTACGTGTCAGCAAATATTTCTAATAAAGGCGGTAATAGTGTAGTCTTCCGACCCTGTCTGACCCCAATCGTATCATCACCGTTGTACTAATGTTCTCCGTCATAAAATCCCAGCACGCAACGCTCTTGAGTAAGTAGCTTGTTTCCCCCGTGCTCCCTCTGCCCTTGAGGAGTGGGTGTTATCGCCCGCTTATATGCATTATTAAACATCTGTGTGTTTCACTCATCCCTGGCCTCAGAACCAGATTAGTCTGAAACGTTTTAACTGCAATAGACACGTCTGGGGTGTGAGTCAATACCTTAAGGTTGACGTCTCAGTAAGCCTGCTGGATGAAGTGTGTACAACCACGAAAGAAGGTCTTTCATGTGTAGTTCTGTGTGAGCTACTGTTCTACAATGTAACGGTGTCCGAACGGTCTTAATCAATGTTTATAATGGGCCGTGATTTGTAGGGTGATAACGGTACATATCTTTGTCAGCTTGTTTAACGCCTCTTTGAACATTATCCATGTATATCAATGTATGTCCAAAGGTGGAAGAAAATCCGAAGTGATACTCTCGTTAAAGCCATGAGCACGGGTATTCTTCTGACAAGCCTAGAAACATACGAAACATTCGAACCACGTGAATGTAAGTTTCTGGCGTGCGAACTGCGAGGCCAGGGACGAAAAGAACAACCGAGCCCATATATGTCTTACTGAGAGTCAGGACAT